TCCTCCTATCTCTCTCGTCCTCCTCCTCCTCTTCCCCTCTCTCTCTCGTCCTCCTCCTCTTCCTCCTCTCTCTCCTCCTCCTCTCTCTCCTCCTCCTCCTCCTCCTTCTCCTCTTCTCCTCCTCTTCCTCCTCCTCTCTCTTTCTCCTCTTCCTCCTCTCTCTCCTCTTCCTTTCCTCTCTTCTCTCTCCTCTTCCTCCTCTCTCTCCTCCTCCTCTCTCTCCTCCTCTCTCTCCTCCTCTTCCTCCTATCTCTCTCTCCTCCTCCTCTTCCTCCTTCCTCTCTCTCCTCCTCTCTCTCCTCCTCTCTCTCCTCCTCTTCCTCCTATCTCTCTCGTCCTCCTCCTCCTCTTCCTCCTATCTCTCTCGTCCTCCTCCTCCTCTTCCTCCTCTCTCTCTCGTCCTCCTCCTCCTCTTCCTCCTCTCTCTCTCCTCCTCCTCTTCATTCTCCTTTTTCTCTTCTTGATCTTTCTTCTCCTCCTCCTTCTCCTCCTCCTCCTCCTCCTCCTCCTCCTCCTTCTCCTCCTCTCTCTCTCCTCCTCCTCCTCTCTCTCTCCTCCTCTCTCTCCTCCTTCTCCTCTCTCTCCTCCTCCTCCTCTCTCTCCTCCTCCTCCTCCCTGTAGACGTGCGTGTGCTCTAACCGCTTCCTGGTGCAGAGCGGTATCCACGACCGCTTCATGGAGAAGCTCGGTCAGACGATGGACGCCGAGCTCCGTCTGGGACACGGCTCGGAGCCCGGCACCACGCAGGGGCCGCTCATCAACCCCCGAGCTGCAGAGAAGGTGAACACGGTTTAATGTTTGGAGAGACGTCCATCTCTCTTATCAGATGACCTTTTTTCTGTCAATATGTTTGGGGCACCGGTAGCCTAGCGGTTAGTGCGTGCGCCCCATGTACAGAGGTTAAAGTCCTCATACACACGCCGTCTGTCTGTCAGGTTACTCATCAGATATCAGACGCCGTGTCCAAGGGGGCGAAGGTATTGAAGGGCGGCAAGCGTCTGGAAGGTTCCTACATGGAGCCGACCCTGCTGGCCGACGTCACCACAGACATGCTGTGTACCAGAGAGGAGACGTTCGGCCCGCTGCTGCCCGTCATCAGGTGTGTACGGTCACGACTCATCAGTGTGTTCACGTCTTTATTTAATGTCCTTATTGATCTACAGTCACCTTTTATTCATGTTAGAGCTTCACAAACACACACACACACTTTCTTTACATCAGCAGTGCACACACACCTGTAGCTGCCATGTGTTACATTTGATAACATTAAAGGAGCAGTATGTAGCTCTGACCCCTAGTGTTTAAAATGGGTACTGCAGTCTAAATTCTAAACATCATAGAGAGCTGCCCCCCCCCCTCCTCTCTAGAGTGGATGCTCACTCAGGTCACCATGTGGTGGACTCTGAAGCTTCAGTGTTTATCCAGCTCTGCATGGGTCTGTAAACCTTTCTGTGTTCTAACCTCTCTCCATTTTTCAAAAGCATCTCCAATATTGATCCTAGTTTGAGCACGTTTCTGCTCGTGGAGCTTATTAGAAACATGCAGAGGCTTTTTAGGTCGGGTACAATCACTTCTATCTGAACCACTTCTCTTGACCGCTTCCATCACTGCAACACCTGTTGACCTGATAACTGCTCTCATATCTGACAAACCGAGGGGTGTCCAAAACGGCCGTGTGGGGGTGTCTTAAAAGCTTCTACCTTCTCTGGTCCAAACAAATCCAGAGCATTCAGGAGCAGAATCTAAAGTTAGAAGGAGGACATACTGGCTGCTGCATTGAGAAGCCAGCACTTAATGATCAGAGAGTAAGATACCTTTATCATCTCACTCTCTACACAGCTCACTGATTGGACCTTTAAAATTGAGAAAAGGAACTTAGAAACAACAAGAAAAGGGAGAAAGTTTTTGGTCAGCTAGTTGTAATGAGGTGTATTTTCTTCTGGTTTGCAGGTTTGACAAAGAGGAGGAGGCTCTGGCTATCGCTAACGCTTGTAATGTTGGGCTGGCAGGTGAGTGCATCACTCTGAACTTGTACAGGTAAAAAATCTCCTGAAAGTCTTAAAGTGTGTTTGAGATCAGCCTTTCCACTTTACAGAAACATTTGGAGAACTTACAGTTGAAGTTCCCTGATGTCAGCGTTTTTGGTTTTAGTGCGTTTTAATGCTTCTAAAACAGTCCTGAGTAGTCACTGAGCGTTTGTCGACTTGTTAACAACCTTCCACTCATGCTCTCTGATTTGAAGAAGTTTTCAAGATGCATCTCCGAGTTCGTCGCCTCGGAAAGACTGAAAGCTGACGCGTCAAACCTGAAGCTTCTCCCTAAATAAAACGGTTCATTTTAACGCGACAGATGCAGATTGAAAAGCTGCATGGTAAAACATTTTTGCACATAAATCTGGCTGACAAAGTCGGATCCAACCCAAGGAATTATAGACTACACATGCGAGTGTTCGGCGCCATCTAGAGTCCACATGAAAGCGGCTGAAAACTTTATCATATACACACCTGTGTGGTGGAAACCGTCCGCCATGTTGGATCAGACACTAAGAACAATGACTGACTGTTTATTTTTCTTAGATTGGAGAGTTTTTAAACCTTTAGAATAAGACTGCCCTTATTGATCAGTTATGATCCCTTCAGGTGCTGCTTGGAAACATCGTACACACCAGTTGTGCAGTCATAACAATGAGTTCTCTCGTTGGAAAATAGCAACAAGCGTGGTCACCAGGAGGTTGATGTTTTGTGGCTGATTGATAATCACTGAGATCGTTTGTGCTTCGGCGGCAGAATGAAGAACACAATGTTTACCTGAAGCTCATTCTATGTTAATACACTCACTCACGAAAATCAGAATTTCCCGACTCATAATCTCACTTTGCTGCGCCGTTCACATGCTCAGAACTCAGAAATCTGACATTTCCGAGGAGCACATGAAGGCAGCATTATTCTGTCTTGAACCAACACATTATTATTTTCAGCGTCTGATTGGCTGGCTTTGTTTTTTGTTTTTTTTTAACACATTTTAGGTTACCTGTACTCGCAGGATGTGAGTCAGATGTGGCGCGTGGCCGAGGCGTTGGAGGTGGGGATAGTGGGCGTCAACGAGGGTCTCCTGTCCACCCCAGAGGCCACGTTCGGCGGGGTCAAACAGTCCGGTTTGGGTCGCGAAGGCTCCAAGTACGGCATTGACGAGTACCTGGAGGTGAAGTACATGTGCTTCGGAGGACTGAAACCCTGAGAGAGGACGCAGCCCCACCGGTGGTACCACACTCCTAAACCCCCCTCCTAAACTCATAATCATGCAGTAATCATTAGAGGAGCTCAGGCTGAAGTTGTTTTAATTCTGTGGTCTCCTCAATCAATATAATATAATAAAACTGCAGACTTAGTTTGAGGCCATGCAGGAAACTAGTCAAGTAACATTTAAAAAAAACCCAGCAAAATATGAAATATCGTGCCATCTGCATTTCTCTTCAGCTGCCAGGAGGGGGCAGTCTCTGGTGAGACAGGGTCCTCTTCATTGCTCCTCTGCTGCCTTTTTTATTATCACATGTTCATATGCAGAATCAGGCAATAATGATGTGTTTGCCTTTGTTCAAATCTTTAAAGGTCGCATGTTCTTTAAAATTGGAGATTTTCCCTTTATGACATCACAAAGGGCAGTAGCCCCTCCCCCAGGTGGGTGACACTCCCACAGCTAGGTGTTTGTTCTGCCCTCTGAGTCTGCCTTCTCACCGTAAACAATAGGACATGGAGCGAGAAAGACCGAGTACACCCAAGTCCTTCCAGAGAGGGGGCGTGGTCAGACACAGCTCATTTACATATTTAAAGGTACAGACACAGAAACAGCCTGTTCTGAGCAGGGCTGAAATAGAGGGGTTTATAGACATAATCAAATACAGGATCAGAGTGGATTTAGAACAAGAAACTTCACACACATGTTTTGAGGAGCTCTGAGACTTATTTACACTGAAGAAGAGGAGGAGGAGATGTCACCTTTAAGATTATGAAATACTAAACATGATCTCCACATGTTAGAAAACACATTTTTATTGGGGCGTGCTGGTGGCGCAGTGGTTAGGGTGCGCGTCCCATGTATTGAGACTCTCGTCTCGAGCGGTAGGCCCGGGTTCACTTCCACCCGTGGCCCCTTTCCGCATGTCATTCCCTGCTCTCTCTCTCTGGTTTCAGACTCTATCCACTGTCCTCTCTCTCCCTGGTTTCAGACTCTATCCACTGTCCTCTCTCTCTCTCTGGTTTCAGACTCTATCCACTGTCCTCTCTCTCTCTGGTTTCTGACTCTATCCACTGTCCTCTCTCTCTCTCTGGTTTCTGACTCTATCCACTGTCCTCTCTCTGCATTAAAGGCACGAAAAAGCCCAAAAATAAATCTTTGAAAAAAAAAAACAACACATTTTTATGATCAGTATGTTACTATGTTTTCTCCCTGTAACTCTGCAACGACCATTTCTCCAAGTCCGGATGTCGTCCAAAACCGCCAACGTGGGGGCGGGGTTTGTGTGGTGGGAGTGTTGTAAGAAGCAGTAGTGACCTCCGTCGTCCAATCAGGCGTCTCTGCTCGTCAACATCGTGGGAGAGTAACTGTGTGTGTATGTGTGAGCGTGTAAAATGTCCAGTTAGCATCGTTAGCACCAGCGCCAGTTTGGTGACATCTGCCATCACACTAATCTCATGTAAACTAGGGAGAGACGGAAACGTTCTTCAGGAGCTCAAACGTCTTTGTTTAAAACGGAGAAAGCGCGTCAGATCTGCACGCCGTAAAAAAGAAACTGAAATGAAGCACAAAACCTTTTATTCTAGATTTTTCTAAAAGTTTAGTTTGTGTTGAAGATCCCGACGTCCTGTATTCATGTGGAAGTCGTTATTTTTGTACGATTAAAACTGAGACATGCCGCCACGTTGGAACACAAAACGGATCAAACTACAGGAAGTAAAAACAGTTTTAAGGCATGAGAACAGAACCGTCAATCTGTCCTGTGTTGATCCCATCTGAGAGAGATTACTTAAAACATTAATGTTGAAAAGCATGCCTGATGCGGGTCATGCATGTGAGCCGGCCCCCTCGGCGTCTCGGACTGAAGAGAAGTCGTCATAGCTGTGAATGATTCCCATGATCCTCCATGATGATGTTAGTGAACTGTACAGCTCTCTAATGTAAAGTGATCTTTGTCTTAATTGTAACATGATGTTGTAGTTAGAGTTAATTTAAAAAAGAAAATAACTTTTGTATTTCTGACTTCAGTTGTTGATGGAACATTAAAGAGCAAATTGTAATAAAACATCTCGTCATGTGTTTTTTAGTGTCAGTATTAGTTACGTGTTAATGCCTGAAGAAGCTAATATCCATCTACAATTCTACAATTCACTCAGCAGGCGCTTTTATCCAAAGCGACGTACATCAGAGAGTAAGAACAACACAAGCAAGGATCTAGAAAAAAGGGAACAATGTCAGTAAGAGCAAATGGTCAGCTTTGAGTCTGATTGGACACACAGGTGCTGACAGGAAGTGACCAGAGGCAAAGCACAACATTGAGGGCAGTTCTTGAGAGCTCTAATCAGTATAGAAACCATCTTATAAGTCATCGTTATCAAACAAAAACCATCATCATCATCAATAATATGGAGACCATCATCATTAAGTTAGTAGGTATTCATGAAAGAGCTGGCTCTTTAGCTTTTTCTTAAAGGTGCAGAGGGACTCTGCAGATCACATGGAGTTTGGAAGTTCATTCCACCACCGGGGGGCGACAGAGGAGAAGAGTCTAGTCAGAGACTTAGGACCCTGTTGTGAAGGTTGGATCAGACGCCTTTCATTGGCAGAGCGTAGTGGGGGGAGGGAGTGTAGACCTGGATCAGAGAGTTAAAGTAAGGAGGAGACGTTTCTGTGTCTGTTTTGTAAGCGAGCAGCAGAGTTTTAAATTTGATGTGAGCAGTAACTGGGAGCCAGTGTGAGGAGATGAACATGTGAGTGACATGTGCTCTTTTAGGAAGGTTGAAGACCAGTCGTGCTGCTGCATTTTGTATCATCTGCAGAGGTTTGATAGTGACTGTAGGAAGACCTGCCAGTAGAGACATCACAAGAGCCTGTACCAGGAGCTGTGTAGTTCTGACAGGTAAGGTCTGATCTTCCTGATGTTGTTCAGGGCAAATCCACATGACCGGGCAATCGAGGCTACTTGAACCTTAAAAGTTAGCTGGTCATCAATCATGACACCCAGGTTCCTGCAGACTTTGTGGGCATGAGTTTGGTTGTTCCAAGCTGGATATTGATCTGTGGTTGCATATAGGGACTGGCTGGGATGACAAGGAGCTCAGTCTTTGAAAGATTGAGTTGAAGGTGGCGTTCATTCATCCATTCAGAGATATCAGCAAGGCATGATGAGATTCTTGCAGAGACTGTAACATCGTCTGGCGGGAATGACAGGAAGAGCTGGGTATCATCAGCATAGCAGTGGTATGAGAAGCCATGAGAGCGGATTATTGAACCAAGTGAGCTTGTGTATATGGAGAAGAGAAGGGGACCAAGCACTGACCCTTGAGGTACCCCTTGAGGCACATAAGCTGTGCGCTTTGGACACTTCTCCCTTCCACGACACTCTAAAGGATCACCCAGAGAGGTAGGACACGCACTAGCAGAGGGCAGATCCTGAGATGTTCAGAGAGCGTGGACAGGAGGATTTGATGGTTGACTGTGTCAAAGGCAGCAGACAGGTCTAGCAGTAATAGAACTGAGGACTGACCCGCAGCTCTGGCAGCTCATAGTGATTCTGTTACTGACAGTAGTGCAGTTTCAGTAGAGTGGCCCCGCTTAAAGCCTGACTGATTTGGGTCAAACAGATCGTTTCTGGACAGGAACTCAGAGACTTGCTTAAAGACTGCTCAAGTATTTTTGACAGAAAGGGCAGAAGAGAAACCGGTCTGTAGTTTTCAGCCTGGGCTGGGTTTAGTGTGGGTTTTTTGAGCAGAGGGGTGACCCGAGCTTGCTTGAATGCGGTGGGGAACACACCCGTTGACAGAGAGGAGTTGACGATATTCTTAAGTGCAGCAGTAAGCAGAGAGAAAATGGTCTGCAGGAGGCTTGATGGTATTGGGTCCAGAGGACAGGTGGTGGGCCGAGAGTCTAGCACAAGCTTAGAGACTTCATCCTCAGAGAGGAGAATGAGTCGAGTGAGGCACTTTTGGTTGGTGCCTTTGGGCTGAGCTGGTCAGGCTCAGAAAACTGGTTACTGATGGTTGCAACCTTTTTAGTAAAATACGAGGCAAACATGTCTGGTGTGAACAGATCGGAGGGTGGAGGAGGAGGTGGTTGTCTGTAGAGAGAGTGTCTGTAGCCTCGTCTGTAGAGAGTTTGTCTGTAGCCTCGTCTGTAGAGAGAGTGTCTGTAGCCTCGTCTGTAGAGAGAGTGTCTGTAGCCTCGTCTGTAGAGAGTGTGTCTGTAGCCTCGTCTGTAGAGAGAGTGTCTGTAGCCTCGTCTGTAGAGAGAGTGTCTGTAGCCTCGTCTGTAGAGAGTGTGTCTGTAGCCCTGTCTGTAGAGAGTGTCTGTAGAGTGTGTCTGTAGAGAGTGTCTGTAGAGTGTGTCTGTAGAGAGTGTCTGTAGAGAGTGTGTCTATAGCCTCATCTGTAGAGAGTGTGTCTGTAGCCTCATCTGTAGAGAGTGTGTCTGTAGAGAGTGTGTCTGTAGCCTCGTCTGTAGAGAGAGTGTCTGTAGCCTCGTCTGTAGAGAGTGTGTCTGTAGCCTTGTCTGTAGAGAGTGTGTCTGTAGCCTCGTCTGTAGAGAGAGTGTCTGCAGAGAGTGTGTCTGTAGCCTCGTCTGTAGAGAGAGTGTCTGTAGCCTCGTCTGTAGAGAGAGTGTCTGTAGCCTCGTCTGTAGAGAGTGTGTCTGTAGCCTCGTCTGTAGAGAGAGTGTCTGTAGCCTCGTCTGTAGAGAGTGTGTCTGTAGCCTCGTCTGTAGAGAGAGTGTCTGTAGAGAGTGTGTCTGTAGCCTCGTCTGTAGAGAGTGTGTCTGTAGCCTCGTCTGTAGAGAGTGTGTCTGTAGAGAGAGTGTCTGTAGCCTCGTCTGTAGAGAGAGTGTCTGTAGCCTCGTCTGTAGAGAGTGTGTCTGTAGAGAGTTTGTCTGTAGCCTCGTCTGTAGAGAGAGTGTCTGTAGCCTCGTCTGTAGCAAGTGTGTCTGTAGAGAGAGTGTCTGTAGCCTCGTCTGTAGAGAGTGTGTCTGTAGAGAGTTTGTCTGTAGCCTCGTCTGTAGAGAGAGTGTCTGTAGCCTCGTCTGTAGCGAGTGTGTCTGTAGAGAGTGTGTCTGTAGCCTCGTCTGTAGAGAGTGTGTCTGTAGAGAGTTTGTCTGTAGCCTCGTCTGTAGAGAGAGTCTGTAGCCTCGTCTGTAGAGAGAGTGTCTGTAGAGAGAGTGTCTGTAGCCTCGTCTGTAGAGAGTGTGTCTGTAGCCTCGTCTGTAGAGAGAGTGTCTGTAGCCTCGTCTGTAGAGAGTGTGTCTGTAGCCTCGTCTGTAGAGAGAGTGTCTGTAGAGAGTGTGTCTGTAGCCTCGTCTGTAGAGAGTGTGTCTGTAGCCTCGTCTGTAGAGAGTGTGTCTGTAGAGAGAGTGTCTGTAGCCTCGTCTGTAGAGAGAGTGTCTGTAGCCTCGTCTGTAGAGAGTGTGTCTGTAGAGAGTTTGTCTGTAGCCTCGTCTGTAGAGAGAGTGTCTGTAGCCTCGTCTGTAGCAAGTGTGTCTGTAGAGAGAGTGTCTGTAGCCTCGTCTGTAGAGAGTGTGTCTGTAGAGAGTTTGTCTGTAGCCTCGTCTGTAGAGAGAGTGTCTGTAGCCTCGTCTGTAGCGAGTGTGTCTGTAGAGAGTGTGTCTGTAGCCTCGTCTGTAGAGAGTGTGTCTGTAGAGAGTTTGTCTGTAGCCTCGTCTGTAGAGAGAGTCTGTAGCCTCGTCTGTAGCAAGTGTGTCTGTAGAGAGTGTGTCTGTAGCCTCGTCTGTAGAGAGTGTGTCTGTAGAGAGAGTGTCTGTAGCCTCGTCTGTAGAGAGAGTGTCTGTAGCCTCGTCTGTAGAGAGTGTGTCTGTAGAGAGTTTGTCTGTAGCCTCGTCTGTAGAGAGAGTGTCTGTAGCCTCGTCTGTAGCGAGTGTGTCTGTAGAGAGTGTGTCTGTAGAGAGTTTGTCTGTAGCCTCGTCTGTAGAGAGAGTCTGTAGCCTCGTCTGTAGCAAGTGTGTCTGTAGAGAGTGTGTCTGTAGCCTCGTCTGTAGAGAGTGTGTCTGTAGAGAGAGTGTCTGTAGCCTCGTCTGTAGAGAGTGTGTCTGTAGCCTCGTCTGTAGAGAGTGTGTCTGTAGCCTCGTCTGTAGAGAGAGTGTCTGTAGCCTCGTCTGTAGCGAGTGTGTCTGTAGAGAGTGTGTCTGTAGCCTCGTCTGTAGAGAGTGTGTCTGTAGAGAGTTTGTCTGTAGCCTCGTCTGTAGAGAGAGTGTCTGTAGCCTCGTCTGTAGCGAGTGTGTCTGTAGAGAGTGTGTCTGTAGCCTCGTCTGTAGAGAGTGTGTCTGTAGAGAGAGTGTCTGTAGCCTCGGCTGTAGAGAGAGTGTCTGTAGCCTCGTCTGTAGAGAGTGTGTCTGTAGCCTCGGCTGTAGAGAGTGTGTCTGTAGCCTCGTCTGTAGAGAGAGTGTCTGTAGCCTCGTCTGTAGCGAGTGTGTCTGTAGAGAGTGTGTCTGTAGCCTCGTCTGTAGAGAGTGTGTCTGTAGAGAGAGTGTCTGTAGCCTCGTCTGTAGAGAGTGTGTCTGTAGAGAGAGTGTCTGTAGCCTCGTCTGTAGAGAGTGTGTCTGTAGCCTCGTCTGTAGAGAGAGTGTCTGTAGCCTCGTCTGTAGAGAGAGTGTCTGTAGCCTCGTCTGTAGAGAGTGTGTCTGTAGCCTCGTCTGTAGAGAGAGTGTCTGTAGCCTCGTCTGTAGAGAGAGTGTCTGTAGCCTCGTCTGTAGAGAGTGCGGTAAAGACCTTTTGGGCAGGCATGGCAGCCATTACCTGGTTAGACAGCTGAGCTGGCTTGAGCGATCGCATGTTTTGGTGGTATGACACCATTTGTGGCTGAGGGAGTTCCAGCAGGAGATTGTGAATTAAATAAAGAAGTGGTCTGATAGATGTAGAGGGGTGACAGTCAGGTTTGCTGTGGAGCAGTTCAGGATTAAATCAAGAGTGTTGCCAGCTTTGTGGGTAGGAGGAGTTGGGACCTGCATGAGGTCAAATGAGGATAGGAGAGCAAGGAAGTCTGTTGCCTGGGCTTTATCAGTGTGTACATTCATGTCTCCCATTACAATCAGTGGTGTTCCATCATCAGGGATTTCTGAGAGTAGCATGTCCAGTTCCACAACAAAATCATTCAGATTACAGCCTGGTGGGCGGTAAATGATAGCAATGTATATTTTAATAGGAGCAGTAACCAAGTTTGTGTGATATTCAAATGAGGAGTTGTTGCTCATCTATTATCTTTACCGCTTATCCGGTTCAGGGTCGCAGGGGGGGCTGGAGCCGATCCCAGCTGTCATTGGGTGAGAGGCGGGGTTACACCCTGGACTGATCACCAGCCAATCACAGGGCTGACTTATAGAGACAGATAACCAGACACACTCGCATTCACTGAGCATTCACAGAGACTCCTGAAGGACGGGGATTCAAACCAGGAACCTCCTCACAGAGAGGCTCCTGAAGGACGAGGATTCAAACCAGGAACCTCCACACAGAGAGACTCCTGAAGGACGAGGATTCAAACCAGGAACCTCCTCACAGAGAGACTCCTGAAGGACGGGGATTCAAACCAGGAACCTCCTCACAGAGAGGCTCCTGAAGGACGGGGATTCAAACCAGGAACCTCCTCACAGAGAGGCTCCTGAAGGACGGGGATTCAAACCAGGAACCTCCTCACTGAATTAGAATAAGCTGATATGATGCACGTAATTCAGACGAAGCTAAAAATTGTTGAAAGAGGATTTGTTTATGCTAAGCTAAGCTAAGCTAGCAGTTTCCCCCCTGTTTCCAGTGTTGGAGCTAAGCTAGGCTAACAGACCCTGACACCGCTCTGTGTGCTGGACTCACAGAAGCAAGTGTCTTATTCTGCTGAATGTCTGCTCCTCCTTTAGATTCTTCATTTCAGGTCTTAAAGAGAAACATCAGTTCGTTTGAATTTCCCCCCACACACGTTAACGTTAAATCACACATAATCCAACCCGGATACGCAGGATTGTCCTCAAGGCAGTGACTCCTCACGTCCTTTTGAAGGAGCTTGACCTCACAGGCAAGGATTTCTGGGTAATGAAGTCCTTCATAGTGCTAGGAATAAAAATCTCTAAATGCCACACGGAGTCGCCCAGAGTGCAAAACCAACCGAGACCTCTCTTCTTTTCTGTCTTTTCTCTCCCCGTGAAGTCGCCCGTCCCCGTCAGCCGAAGGCGTTTCCGTTGCGTGCGCCCTGAGCGCTGAGCCGGTTCCTGCTGCGGACGGGTCGGTCCCGGCTGAAGATGGTGTCCTGGTCGCTGTCGAGCTCCGACTCGGACATCATCAGGCTGGAGTTGTGCTCGGTGCTGCGATGTTTGATACCTGAGAAAAAGATGGTTAAGATATCGGGGGAAAAGAACTACAAAACCCATGATTATAGAGTGGTCACAGCGATGTCTCTGATTGGTGGAGCTCGTTGTTACCATGGCAATGTTTCCCGCCCTTACAAGATAGTACCACACTTGTATTAACAGTATAAACACGATAACAGGGTTAGGGATTCTTCATGCACAAAGTGTGGTTTTCAGAACAACATTAAAGTATGAAAAAGGACAAATCTATATAAAGTTAGACATTAAACACCCCCATAGATCTGGAATGGAATGATCCTCGCGCTCGACTGAGAGACTGACAGTCGACTGAGGCTCTGACCTACGATTCGTCGACTCTTATGGGGTCACACCCACAGTGAATGTCTGATAAAAAATGTATATTGACATCTATGTGATACCAGTATAACAAAGGGAATGTGTTGTTCACTCACTGAATTTGGGTCGGAGCTCCACCCTCTCCTGCTCGTCCATGTTGTCCAGGATGGTGTATTTGGTTTTCCTCCTCACTTTGGTCTGCCTCCTCCTGCACACACAAACACACACTCACTGTCACACTGTCATCATCACCAGGGTAACACGTCTGAAACATCCAGAACGACCCGAGCTCACCTCTTGAAGCAGCAGATGAAGGTCCAGCTGACGGACAGGATGAACACCATGAGCAGGAAGCTGGTGAGGACCACGTACAGAACCCTCCACTCTGATTGGACGAGCAGAGAGAGAGACGGAAATCAAACCTGCAGCGTCTACAAGTTGTCTGTTTTATTTGAGAGCAGCCAATCGTTTGTGTTTGTGTTTACCACAGTTGCTCTCTCCATCGCCGAGGTATCGACGAATCAGGTTCTCCGTCCAGAAAGGGTCGCACAAGCACTCTTTTGTGATTGGATCGCACTGGCCACGCCCCGAGCAGTGAAGCAGGCACACTGACAGAAAACAAAAGACGACACAAAAATTGTTTTGTTTTTTTTCACTGTGAGAAACATTATTAAATCCAAAATGTGTCAGATTTTAAAAATGTAATTTGGTTTGATCAGAATTTGTCTAAAAACAAACCGCAAGCCTGAAGGACTCAGAGCTGTACGCTAACCGCTGTCAGACAGCGTGCACGCTAACCGCCGTCAGACAGCGTGCGCGTTAACCGCCGTCAGACAGCGTGCACGCTAACCGGCGTCAGACAGCGTGCGCGTTAACCGCCGTCAGACAGCGTGCGCGCTAACCGCCGTCAGACAGCGTGCGCGTTAACCGCGTCAGACAGCGTGCGCGTTAACCGCGTCAGACAGCGTGCGCGTTAACCGCGTCAGACAGCGCGCACACACACACACACACACACACACGCTCGTACTCACACACACACACACGCACACGCTCGTACTCACACACACACACACACA